CCCCCCCCCCCCCCCCCCCCCCCCCCCCCCCCCCCCGCTCCTTCCCTCCCTCCCCGCGGCCATCAAAATTTCCATTTACTCTGTCGGAGTTCAGCTTGCAATATTCCTGGGTTAACGTTTGCAATCACCCTGACAATCTTGGCACCACTTCTAAAGCATTTCCGTCCCAGGCTGGAATTCAAGTTCTTCTCCAGCATTTCGACTTCACTCCGGGCCTGATTCCAGGCATGAAACGTGCGGCTTTTCTCTGCACTGAATGTAAATATGTGACCAGAACTGGAATGCTGTATTCGAGATGCAGCATAACTAGAGCACTCTGCAGCTGTATTGAGATTCTGGGACGATGTATTGTCATATCCAGCTAGTTTTGTGGATTGGCCTGTTTCTGTTTAACGTGTCGTTGAGACGAGGGCGTTTTTTTACTCCAGAGATAACACAGTGTAGAGCTGGAGGAGCACAGCATGCCAGGCAGCATCAGAAAAGTAGGAAAGTTGGCATTCTGGGTCGGGACCTTTCTTCAGAAATGGGGAGGGGGAAAGGAGCTCCGAAATAAATAGAGAAGAGGGGTGGGGCTGGGGAAGGTAGGTGGGATGGTGATAGGTGAGTGCAGGTAGGCAGTGGTGGGGATTGGCCTGTGAGGTGGGGGGGCAAGTAGGTGGGAGTGAAGATGGACTGGTTGTGTCAGGTCAAGGAAGTTTGTATTAGGTCTGAGGAAGGATCACTGGACCCGAAACTTAACTCTTTTTTTCCTTCACAGATGCTGCCAGACCTGCTGAGCTTTTCCAGCAACTTTGTTTTTGTGTCAGGTCAAGGGTGCTGGGATGAGAGGGAGGGTCGGTCATGGGATGAGGCTGGGAGCGGGGAGATTTTGAAACTGGTAAAGTCCACATTTCGACCATTGGGCTGTAGGCTCCCAAGGCTCCCAATCCGTTTCATTATCTGTTGCCCCAGCACCATTCAGGGTGACCAGTCCTTGTTTGCACAAGTTTCAGTTGTCTGTATTAAATCTTGTCTCCCATCTTGTCCAACTTTTCTATAATTTCTGACTTGTCTTTTACGATTCCACCTCTCCCCCTGGCATGTACTCATATGTGACATTGACTGCTATTTCCATGTTTCCAAAACCAGTGTCATTAATGTCAATTAGAAACAATACTGAATCCCCAGAGTCCCCATTGAGCACTCACTTCTATTCATATTCCATTTTGATTCCTACCCTTGCGCATTCTCCCCGTGTCTGTGTGGGTTTCCTCCGGGTGCTCTGGTTTCCTCTCACAGTCCAAAGATATACAGGTTAGGTGGCTTGGCCATGCTAAATTGCCCATAGTGTCCAGGGATGTGTAGGTTTATGGGCATAGAGTAGGCTGTGGGTCTAGGAGGGATGATCTTTGAAGGGTCATTATGGACTAAATGGGCTGAATGGCTGCTTCCACACTGTAGGGAGTCTAAGTTAGAATTCCCTCATGGCTCAGTGTCTCATATGTACCAGGTAATGTTTAGGAGAGCCAGCTGCAAACCCCTTCTTACTATGGGAGCTTTCAAAGTGTGCTGCCTACTGATTATAGGATTGAATGGCTCAAGTGAGCAACCCTGATAATGCTACTTTCCCCATCCCACAGTGTGGAAATCACCAGCTATTTAAAACTAGCATTGTGAAGTATGTTGATGGTTGCTGTGATTTTACTGTACATCTATCATTCTTCTTTCTGTTCTTTAAAAAGAGAGCTCTTAATATTAGTTTTCAGCAACTGAACTAGTCCAAATAATTGACAAGTTAAGATAAATGCCCTGAACATTAGCCAAGCTAAATAATTCATGAAGAGATCAATAGGATGATGGGTTAGAGAAGTAATCTAATTCTTTGCTTTGGATTGCGTGTATTACTGAAATTATTTAGTGGTACAAAGTAAGAAAGGTTAATGTCAATGTGTAAAATGACATAAATTAGAGGATAAATAATCATATCGAAGAGACAATTGCATAGTGGCAATCTCAGAAGAACTCCAAAGGCTCAGGCTACATGCTAGGAACACTGGTTTATATGTCCCATCGCAGCCACCGGTGGAATTTAAATTTGAATAATAAAAGCTGTAACTGAAGTCTCAATAATGGTGACCATGAAACTATCATTGATAATTGTGAAAACCCATCCAGTTCACTAATTAGGGAAGGAAAGAATGCAGGGTGATCTTTTGAAACATTTGACATTCTGAGGGGAATTAACAGGATGGAACCTAGAAGTAGGAGGCCTGGTTTAAGAATAAGCGGTTTCTGATTTAAGACAGAAATGCAAAGTTTCTTCTCTCAGTGGGTCATTGGTCATTAAAATGTTCATCTGTATTGTGTAGTGAAGGTTTGGTCATTGAACTTTGTCAAGGCTGAACTGGACAGATTTGATTGAGGGAGTGATTGATTTATTGTCATGTGTACTGAAATACAGTGAAAAGCTTTGTTTATGATCAGTACAGGCAGATCATAGAAAGCAAAGGCTACACAGATCAAAAAGGCTTAGACAGAGGCATACATTGCACAAGGCGTGCGCTAGGTGAGACCAACGTTAGCAAGATCAGCATTATTTGAGGTTAGAGAGTCCATTCATCAATCTGATAATGGCGGGAAGAAGCTGTTCCTGAACCTGCTCATGTGTTATGGGGACAGGGAGGAAAGTGGATTTAAGACTACAATCGGTTCACCCATTAGTTGATAGGCTGAATGGCCTACTCTTATTCCTGCCTAGAATCTTTTAAACTGTTTAGTTTAAAAAAGTATAGCTTTTTAAACAAATGATTTTTGATGTAGCTGTCATCACCAAGGACAGGATTCACTGCCTATCACTTGGTGGCCTTGAGAAGGATGATAGTGAAACACCTTCTTGAATCACTGCACTATATGTCCTGTATTGACCTACAGCCCAATTTGGGAGTTTGACTCTGATGATTGACTCAAAAGTGAAAGGTTTCCAAGAGAGGATGGCATGTCCCTTGCAGGGGAACTTGTGGGAGATAGTGTTCTGGTGCATCTGCTGTTCTGTTCCCTTGGATGTTGATGGTTTGGAAGATGTTATTGAAGGACGCCTGGTGAGTTGCTGCAGTGTACCTTGTTGACCGAACTCACTGCTGCCACTGTGTTGTGGAGGCAGTGAATCTTTAAGATGAGACATCATCTACTTCATATTAATGTAAGAGCGACATAGGTTCCAGAATGTTTTTAATAGTGTAACAAAATATTTTAATTTCTATTTGCCATTTTTAACAATAATAGAACACTAAATGAAAACTAGCTGTTTTTGGAGGTGATGCTTTATTGCCATTTAAGTTACAGATATTCAGGGCCTCATATCATAAATCAACAAAACATCACAGTATTTCTGTACAAACATGCCTGGTATGCAGGTACTTTTGTATATACATCACTTGGGACACAGTTTATGAGCTATGCCTGAAGGTTTTGCATGCCATTTTTTTGAAGAAAATGAGTTTTCTTTACACATTCGAGATCTTATCACAGTTGTATTCACAATGGGTCTGTACTGGTATTTATCATCAGTGGTGACTATTTTCAACTTCTGTGTTAGCGTTCTTTCTGAGATTTGACCAACAGGGAGAAATGTCAAT